CCCTTGACGCTGCGCTCACGTGACCTCACGCCTGGTCACTCCCCGCCTGGACTGCCCGGGGCATGGAGGGCGCGAGGTGTGGGCACAGCCCCTGTGGACTCCGGTGGTTCTTCCCTTTAGGGGACGGAGGAAAGCTGTTTCAGGGCCCTCACCACAGGGCCTGGGACTGGTTAATGCCACCAGCCTTGTGCCTGAGGGTCCCCCACAGAAGCCTGGCCTTTCCTCTCCCCAGGGAGCCTTCAGGTCCACACAGGCCCCGCAGGGCTCTTACCTGAGGGAACCCTCACGGGCTCGGGCTCGGGCTCGGGCTCAGTGGGTAGGAGGGCCGGTGGCTGTCTGTCCTCCCAGGCCCGGCCGGGTCTGCTGGCCGGCTGGACCCCGAGCCCGACTGCAGGCCGTGCTTGGTGGTTGGCTGGGCTGGCCATTAACTTATTTACCAGGGATTGCTGAGTCACAGGTTCCCCAGACTTACCCCAGACGCGTGTGACCAGAGCGGCCGTCCTGGGGGGTTGTGCTGTAATCAGAGGCCCCGAATAATTACATGTGTGGCCTCCGATAGGCTCCAGCCTCCCGGGACGGGGCTGCAGGTGGGGGACGGGCTGCAGGTGGGGGACCGGCAGAGCACCACTAATAAACAAAAACAAGATATGATTATCACTCATTGCCTTACTTAAGGATTTGTCCTTAAAAGTAAAGTGTGGGTGCTCACTTCGGCAGCACATATACTAAAAAATTGGAACGATACAGAGAAGATTAGCATGGCCCCTGCGCAAGGATGACACGCAAATTCGTGAAGCGTTCCATATTAAAAAAAGAAAAGAAAAGAATGGGTGTGGGCCAGCGGTGACCAGGGAAGGGGTCCCTGACATCCTCCCTGTCCTGATGGGAGATGGGCTTGGTCCACCCTGGGACATGGCAAGGGTGTCCTGGCCTCTCTCTGTTCTGTCTTTTTTTAAAAATATATATATTTTTATTGATTTCAGAGAGGAAGGGAGAGATAGAAACATCAATGATGAGAGAGAATCATCGATTGGCTGCCTCCTGCACACCCCCCACTGGGGATCGAGCCTGCAACCCAGGCATGTGCCCTTGACCAGAATTGAACCTGGGACCCTTCAGTCCGCAGGCCGACGCCCTGTCCACCGAGCAAAACCAGCCAGGGCTGTTCTGTGTCTTTGTTTGAAAGGCTGCTGTGTGTGTGTGTGTGTGTGTGTGTGTGTGTGTGTGCTGCCAAGGGCAGGGGGGTTGCCAGGTGCTGACTGAGATTCTGGGACCAGCCAGGTGTGCCCCTCTTGCTGTGGGCATGGGTCCGGAGTCTGTCCCCCGGAGCCAGCCTCCCAGGTCCACAGCCCGACCACCCACGTCCCAGCCCAGTGCTGACCCTTTGTGAGTGGCAGCGCCTGGCTTCCTGCGTGTGCACTCTCCTCTGGAGGAGGGGCCCGTCTGGCAGGGCTGGCACGAGGCCTGTGCCCCACGCAGCACGCTGAGGGCAGGCTGCGTGTTTACAGTGGTCACTCAGAACGTCAGCCCCCCATTTTTTAAATAAAGGAGTGGGCGAGAAGGGGACGATCCCGTGGGGTGCTGAAGCCTCAAGGGCTTCACCATCCTGGAGGGGGTGGTCCCTTTGGTGCTGGAGGGCTGAGCTGGCCTGGGCTGCTGTCCCGGAGGCCCTGGCCCTGGCCAGCTGATCCTCCCATTCCCACGGGAGCTGCCAGAGTCAGCAGCCAACCAACCTGCAGGACTGTTCCGCCAGATGGGACGGTGAGAGGTTGAGGGGCTCCCTCCGGACCCCATCACACTCAGCCCATTTGGGGTCCTGGCCCCAAAGCCCTGGGCCTGGCTGGGGCGACCAGGAGCCCCATTTGGGGGCAAAGATGGGAGTAGTGCCCAGGGTGGATGGCCAGGGACTGGGAGGGGTCCCCACACCTCAAGTGGTGAGGTCCCCACCTGCTGGGCCGGCTCTATCTCCAGATCTGATCCCTGGTCCCTGAAGCGTCTGTTAGGGACAGCTCTGTGTCAGAGCCAGGGCCGTCTGCCTGGGATCCACTCACCGTGGGAGCTGTGTGCCGGGACCAGGAGCCTAGTTCACTGGCCCAAGGTCTGGGTGGGGAGAGTCAGATGCACTTCTGAGGGTGGGGTGTGGGTGGGGCGGGGAGAGGGCAGCTACTGAGGGGTCATAAAACAATTATCCCCTGAACCAGCTACCTGAAAAGGGCAGTGAGGGAACTCCCAGGTGCCCCTGAGCCCATGCTGCCCCTGGGGGCTGGGCTCCCTGCCTGGGGTGGGGAACACCAGAGCCGAAAGGCATGGAGGTAGCTGAGTGTGGACCTATGAACCAGGAGGTCACAGTTCAATTCCAGGTCGGGGCACATGCTGGGTTGGGAGGCAGCAGATCCATGGTTCTCATCATTGATGTTTCCATCTCTCTCCCTTCTGCTCTGAAATCAATACTATCAATACTGTATATATATAAAGGACATGGAGGGTTGTGGGGTGCAGACACGTACATGGGGGCTGGGAGTGATGAGCATCGGTGCTGGGACAGGATGTAGGGGGCTTAGGAAGGGGAGGTTATTTGGGGGGAAACCTAATGTAGGAGGGGGCCCCTCCTCCCTCGCAGGAGGGAGCAGGACCTGGGAGGCTGTCTCGGTTTGTAGCACCTGTGGAAGGTTCTGGGCAGGTGGGTATTGCAGGGGGGCTGTTTTCCGTGCACCCACACCAGCGCCCCATCCTGTCCGCTGTGTGGGGGCCTGGCCTCGGCTGTCCTCGGCGGTGTGGATGGGGCCTGACACCCCCCAGCTCCCACCCAGCTGAGCAGGTGAAGAAACTCAGAGGTCGCAGCTGCCCTTGGAGAGATGGCGGGGCCCCTGGGTCGCACACCCTCACCCACAGCTCCGCCTGCCCTTCTGCCTGGTATCCCCTTCGGCGACAATGCTGTGCTGTGGTCTGGCCAGCACGTGGGCAGGTGTCTGGGCCCCCTCTGCCCGCCCCCGTGCCCCTCCCGCAGCTGCAGGCTTTTGGCTCAGGGCGGGGCTGGGGTCTCCAGGGCCTTCCGCCCGCCGCCTGCCGCCTGCCATTCCCTGCCACACCCACGCGGCTATTTCCTTAATATTTGTCTTCAAGCCGAGGTTTTAATGGTTAAGGACAGTTATTTGAGAAGGAAACGCTATTCCTACAAGTAAAGAGAAGCCTCCCGACCTGGTTCAGTCTCCAGGGCCCCGAGGACAGACCCGAGTTTCCCCGAAAGCCCCGCCGCGGCGCGT